TTCGTGACAATGTCCAAGATAAAGAATCTCCCAGTCGTTAGGTAAAATAAGGTGAATATTAGACATAATATCGAAAATTTCAAGCTCCATATCTACATCATCTTCTAAAATCAATGATTTACTATATCCATTTTCGATAATCGATTCATAGATATGATAATGGCTTAAATAACAAGCATTTATTCCCGGAAGGAGCCGACTCTGGTTAAGTCTGTTAACTTCCATATCATCTGGCTCAACAGCTTTGACATAATCAAAACATAATCCATGAAATTGTCCTAATTTATTCGTTAGTGCACGCCTATCTGCTCTCTTTTCGAGACTAATGACATAAATATTATCGAAGCAAAGAGTGCAATTTAAAGGGTCAACTTTACTTAAAAAAAGAGTGGTGATACCGAAGAATAATCCATAGCAATATATGCATGATAGTATTAGTACCGAACAGGCATATTTTGCTGGTTTGTTCTTGACCTTATGTAAACTTATCATCATCAAAATTTAAATCAATTCTGATAGAGTAAATATCCGTATTAGAAATACAACTTATGTACAGTGATAACTGATATTATATTACTGTAATGTCAACAAAACAATGGATTTGGGAAGTCTTACGTACAGTGATAATTGATATCTATATTAATATCAACAGATCAATGGATTTGTTTAGTTTATGGCTTCTTCTTCTGGTGTTGTATAAATAAATTTGGAGAGTGTACTATAATAATCACTTAATATAATTATCACTTAATATAGTAAGGTAGAAAACCTTTATTGGTTAGTCACCAATACTGCTTAAATCAGAAAAGTACATTCTACGTATAATCACCATAATATAATGAGTCAAATGAATCAAACTAAATTAAAATTTGTCTACATGTGTAAGCTAGAGATTGACAAAATTATTACATATCTTTAATATATATATATGTCGTGCCTCAGATTAACGCTTGCCTCAGATGTCGATCGGCCTAAGTTAGGTTAGGATTAGGGTAAGAATTTGGGAAGAATTAAGGTATAATTTAGGCCAATCAATGTCGATCAGTTAATGCTGGCCAATAAATCGACATCTGAGGCAAGCGTTAGTCTGAGGCACAACATATATATGGGATTGAGTCAATAGAAACCAAGCAAATATTTTTTCACTATTTTTTTTAAAACTTTAAACAAGGATAACTTAACAAAAACTTGAGCAAATTTAGTAAAAAAAATTTTTAAATTAATTCTACGTACAAATTTGTGAAAATTATTTAAAAAATTTTTTATCAAATTTGGTTAGGTTTTTGTTAAGTTATTCTTGTTTAAAGTCATAAAAATTTATTATTATTAAAATTTTGCTTGATTTCTATTGACTCACCCCATATATATATATATATATATAATGATTTATCTTTATATCAGTGATTGCTATCAATATGAAACTAGAAAAGACATTCCTAGAATGGACCTGGCATTTACATATTTATCGTAGACCTAACTGTATGTAACTTTAAAAATATTATTTGTACTTGGTGCCCACGCTAATTTGTAAACCTTATGTCTAATGTTGCCAAGTAGAAGAGATGATCATATAGCTCATTGTTGTTGATCAAACAATCTATGCCCTTGATTTGTTAATTTATTTTAATTAGGAGATAATCAGATGATCATATATAGCTCATTGTTGATGATCAAACAATCTAAAAAACATGCCTTTAATTTGTTAATTTATATATAGCTCATTGTAGTTAATCAAACAATCTACATCAGAAACATGCCTTTAATTTGTTAATTTATTTTAATTAGAAGAGATAATCACATGATCATTTATCATATGAGTGTCGCTAAAAGAAATAAATATGACTTATATTTAAATTTTCGGGTTTTCTTTTAGCGACACTCCAGTGTTGTCAAATGTCTTGCATATTGGTAATTGTCACATCATTTTATTATGTAATTTATTACACGACGTAATAAATAATATATTAAATGGATGCGACAATTACCAATATGCAAGTTATTTGACAACACTGCGACACTCATATATATAGCTCATTGTTGTTGATCAAACAATTTATATTAATTTATTTTAATTATTGATTTGTTAGAACGATGTTCAAAAAAAGCTCTGGGAATACGTAAATGTTCACACCATACATTCTCTGCGAACGATCCTCCACCGTGTGATAATATTTCGATAATCTTGCTATTTTTATAGCATTCGTTTAAACCAAATTGAAGAATAATTTAGT